TTTTTAGTAGAGACGGGGTCTCGCTCTTGCTCAGGCTGGTTTCAAACTCCTGAGCTCAAACAATCCGCCCGCCCCAGCCTACCAAAGTGCTAGGATTACAGGCGTAAGCCACCACGCCCGGCCTCATTGTGGGTTTTGATTTGCATTTCCTTAAGGATTAGAGCATCTTTTCATGTGCTCATTGTCCATTTGTATATTTTCTTCACAGAAAGATCTATTCACGTCCTTTGCCCATTTTTAAATTGGATTGTTCCCTTTTTTCTTGAGTTGTAACGGTTTTTTGTATATTCTGGATATCAGTCCCTTATCAGATATATGATTTGAAAATGTTTTCTTCCATTTTGTGGGCTGCCTTTTCATTGTGCTGATAATGTCTTGATGTGCAAAAGTTTTTAGGGTTTTTTTTTTGTTCATTTGTTTTTTTATCCCAGAAGTCCTAGAGACAGACAAAAGTTTTTAGTTTTAGTGAAGTCATCTATTTTTCTCAGGATTTTTGATCATTACTATTCTGAGAAACTGTGAAAAAGGGAATCAGATCCCATTTAAATGTCCATCTATGTATGCTACTTGATTAAATAGTGTGTCATTAAGAGAACCCTTAATCTACTGTCATTTGTGATCTTAAAGAGTACTGAAGATGATATTAATTAGTCTGAGTAATAGGAAGCCAGCTAACATATGGTCCTTTTATAATAGACACAAATATTTACCATCTACTGGGTACAGTGCACTGTTCAAGACTATTGTCTAGCAAATGTACTTGCTAAGACCTGGTTCCTCAGAAATAGCCAATGTGCAGATTTTCTCAAGAGAGCAGCACAAGTGCATGGAATCACCTGTACCTTTCAAAACTATGATATTATTAACTCTAAGCAAAGATGATTATATAGGAAACTTAGGCTAAATATAAACATATTTGAGTGTCTTTTTACTGCAATCAAAGTCATATTCTCAAAGCCTGAATGTTCATATTTTTAAAATGTGCTTTTCTAAAATATGTATAATATCATTTTTGCTTTACCTCATAGTCTTCTTTCAAAGTAGTTTGACATTTCAGTTAATTTGCAGGGTAAGTAAGATTGTTGCTGTTTTTTATGAATAGCTATTTTTTTTTTTTTCACTAACTCTTGTATTTAGTTCCTCTAACTGCCCGTATTGGAAGCTCTTAGGAGAGGGGTAGTTTATTTCCTTGGACCAAAAGAGCTCAATTGCTGTAAGGTTGTTATGTTCAGTGCAACATTTTGATATTTAACGTGCATCAAAAGGGCCAGAAGAATTTCTTTTGTAGGTATGTTTCTGTTTACAAAGTGCTTTCCCATCTTATTTAATCCCAGCACTCAGATAAAAAGTTGTTACTGTATTTCTTTCATTCTAAGATGCAAATTTTGCATATCATAATATACCTGAAATAATGCATTTTATAATTGATGGTGTTATAGTTTAATTTGGCAGGGTTTTTTCTTAGTGGCACATAAAATAATGATTTATTTACTAATTTATAGAGTCTTAGATTCAATGAAATACTGTATAAATAATACTATTATTATACTGATTTTACTAATGAAGAAACTGAAGTCTGAGGACCAAATGATATATCCAAAGTCACAGAACTGGTGCACGGTCAAACTGGAAGCTGGCTTTTGATATCAAGGGCTCATTTTCTCCCCCAGTGTACCAGTGGTTCTCAGACTTTAATGTTATAAGAATTACCTGGGGAGATGCATGGGCACCCATCCAGAGATTTAGATTCATTATGTCTGAGGCAGGGCTCAGGAATAGGTATTTAACAGTCCCTCCTTCCTGCATTTATTAAGAGGGGTCAAGGACCACACTTTGTTTTTTGTTTTTCGTTTTTTTTTGAGACAGAGTCTCACTGTGTTGCTCGGGCTAGAGTCTGTGGCGTCAGCCTAGTTCACAGCAACCTCAAACTCCTGGGCTCAAGTGATTCTTCTGCCTCAGCCTCCCAAGTAGCTGGGACTACAGGCACACGCCACCACGCCTGCCTAATTTTTTCTGTTTTTAGTAGAGATGGGTCTTACTCTTGCTTGCTCAGGCTGGTCTCGAATCCCTGAGCTCAAACAATCCTCCCACCTCGGCCTACCAGAGTGGTAGGGTTACAGGCATGAGCCACTGTGCCCGGCCAAGGACCACATTTTGAGAAGCCCTGAATTATAACTTTAAGTATCAGTTCTATCTCTCACTTGCTGATAGAAGCTCTCGTTGACACATTGCCATCAATAGAAATGCCTTTCAGGTGTTAGTGGTGAGGATAAAGTACATAGTATTACTAATAAGAAATCTGTGAAGCCCCAAACAAAGTTATGTGGTGGCATAATCCCATAAAGATGCTCTAGTGGGCATCACTGATTAATCACAGAGGCTGCCCACAATTGTTTTCAACACTGAGCTCTGGGCTGCAACTTTCAGTCAAACACAGATGAAGCCTATCTCTCATCCTCTGCTTTGGGCCCTTTTGGACAGTATTTGTGATTTTAAGGGAAGAGAAACATTCCATCTTTTTTTCCTGCAGTTGACTCCCTGTAGATGTCACAGAGAGCTGCTTTTGCACTTTACCTTCGTTTTGCTATACTGTGGGTGTCTAGGATGTGAGCTGGTTGCTGGGGGAAGTACTCCTTCCTCCTCTGAATGGAGCTCCTTGATGGAGCTTTTGTTGAGATGTTCTTTATGACATTACAGCTACTGTCTACCTAGTAAATATCACATTATTGGTTGCGTGTGGTCAGCCTTTCTATTAATCTCATGTAAAGCTGAAAAAAAGAAGATCTGAGTTTTTGTTTGGGTTTTCATGCATTTCAAATCTTATTCTACTTACTGATGGGCTTGGGAATTGGTTTGCGCCTGACAATGTAATATTCTCAATAATTAAGGAAGTATTAATTTGGATACTGTATAGTAGACACCTTTATTTTTAATTTGTTACACTTTTAACACATTAACTGACATATGAGTTGTATTTAACTCACGCTAGTTTTTGATCCTGGGGCCTCGTGAAGCATACATAACTCCCACATCTCTTTACCTTGGGAGCCACATGAACTATTTCTCAAGTTGCATATAACTCACACACAGAAAACAATAAAATATAACACATTTTTAATTAGAAAGGATCGTTTCGTTTTTGAAGTTTTTATTCTATTTTCGTTATTAACATCGTGGCCCCAAGGGAAAAAGGATTTTTTTTCTAGTGTGGCAGTCAATGTGTTAAACAGTACATTTCAAGTGACAGAATGTAAACCAAATAGATATTACTGTTTTGGCTAAAAAAAAATCCATATAGTGAAGTGATAACTTTAAAAAAGTATGCCAGATTCCTGTGTTGTTTTTCAGAGTCACTCTTCCTATTTGGAAGATGCATCACTGACAACCTTAGCTTCTGCAGGCGTGGGGTTTTGGAGAGTCAACCTCTTGAGAACCCTATTTTAAAGGCTTCTAAAATAAAATTTTAAAAGTGTCCCTTTGAGTCACCTAATTATAAATAATAATGCAACATTCTTGAATTAATACACTGTCTTGCAGTGGAAATGATTTGAATGTGTGGGGAATCGCTTTAAAACTTGAATCTTCATTTAACCCCCAGACTTCTTTCCACAGGCCATCTTGCAACCTGTGTTGGCAGCAGAAGATTTTACTATCTTTAAAGCAATGATGGTCCAGAAAAACATTGAAATGCAGCTGCAAGCCATTCGAATAATTCAAGAGAGGAATGGTAAAATGTTGAAGTTGGAAATCTAAGTGCTAAATGCATTTTTTATATAGTTTTGGCTATTCTGATTCTAATATAGTTTTAAATGTAGCTGCCTTGTATACATTTATTTCAAGTTCAAAAGTCTTTGGCTGACTTAAGAGATTTAAGAGTGTAAACCTCCTGATCTGTGTGTATTTGACATCTTAAAGAAAGCAGACCAGAATTTGATTTAATGATGTTTCAGATTTCAGAGAGTTCGATTTTCTGCCCAGCCATCGTGATTGTAAATTCAGTATTTTCTAGTGGTCAGAGTTATAGTTACTGTTGAGAGAAGATGACTGCCCTTCTCCTCCTGGTTTATCATTAAGACATTTGTAGGAGACAGTGGTTCTTAAGCCTTAGCAAACATTGGAAACAGTTGGAGGGCTTGTTGAAATGCATATGGCTGCCTCCCAGTTTCTGATTTAGTAGATCTGGGGTAGGACTTGATAATTTGCAGTTTTAATAAGTTTTCAGGTGATGCTGAAGCTGCTGGTCCTGGGACCACACTGAGACTCACTGTTCTAGGGCAGCGGGCAGATACTATTGCACCAGTGTCAGGTGGAAGCGAAAACAGAACTCAAAGTCCTAGTAACTCTTCTTGGTTTTATCTTTTCCCTGACTCTGTGCTCAAACTTACTTTCTCTAGCTCTTCCTGCTTTTGTTCCCTTCTTGTGTAACTGAACTACATTTGACATCCTAACTCAAAACAGCTGAGTTAACTGTACTTGTTGTACCATCTCCTTTTCAACCCAGATTATCATCTCTATTTCAGATTTCTGGCTCTGGTAATCTCACCTTAATTCCCATGTGTCCCTTTGTTCAGTGGATTGCTACTGACAGTCTTTACCATGGTCTGTAACTGCTTTAATGGTTTGGCATCAGGACCTTTCCTTTAATTGTTTCTTGAAGATATAAGAGCTATAGTTCAGTTGTATTGTTTGCTCTTAAGGGTCTGGAGCACACAACAATAGGGCTTCTGTTATTACAGGGCAAACAAGAGAATGTTGCAGTACCCAGTTGGGGAGTTTCCTTCTCATTTGTCTGATGTGAGTAGAGAGATTCTATCACTTAGAGCCAGGCGCCATCATAACCATCCACCAAAATCCTAATACATTTTCCCCAGCAGGTAATAGAGCTGTTGTTGCTGGGTAGGAGATAACACCATTCTAAACCTGAAGAATGCATGACACAGTGCTGTTATGTTGGTGTAAATAAGTTTGGAAAATAGTCTCTTTGTCTTTCTACTATGGTTTGCTCTATAAAATTCTTTCCTCTGAATTTTCCAGAAACTGCTTTATTTTGACCTGTGGGATAGAGAATTTTCATAATTATGTTAGTAAATTTTTTTTTGAGGGGATCAGTTTTGATAAAAGAAAGAAATAGTGAACTTGACATTGGTACTATAGTTTCCAATTTGGAATTTAACTGGAAACTTATTGAGATTTTAATACAAAGGGAACAAATACATATAGCTGGTATTATCTGGATACTTCAGGCTGCCAGTAACAGAACACCCCAATGAAAATGACCTGAGCAATTTGAAATTATCATCTCACAGAACAAGAAGTCCAGAGGAAAGGAGGGAAAGAAGATAGCTTTGGGGTTAACTTAGTGGCTCAGTGATACATCAAAGACCCTGGCACTTTCCCTCTTTATACTCTTCCATTCTCAGGATCTTCTCTTATGATTGTACTCTGGCTGCATTGAAAGCAGACTTATAACAATTTCTCATGAAGCAAAGGGATGTTTCCTCGTCTGTATCTCTTTTTGTTAGCAAGACAACAATTTCATGGAAGCCCTCTAGGAGTTTTCTCCTCAGGTCCTATTGATCAGGATTGGGGTCATTTGCCTTTCTAAAACCATCTGACGGGAGAAATGAGATCATTATGATTGGATTAAACCAACTATGAGTCACTCTCCTGGGGTCCGGGAGGGCCCTGCCTCTAAGTAGTTAGCTGCCTGATAACTGCACAAAACCTGGCTTATGTTAGCAAGGGAGGAGGAGGGGAATGATGTGGAATAATGGCTGCTGTCATACCACAGTGTGGGACAGTTTGCTTACATTTTAGCATAAACTAATGCTTACTTTCTGCTACAGAATTTTTAATATACGTATTTAAGAATGTTGCTTAACTTAGATCCAGGGTGAGTACCTTAGATCAATGTTGATTGTACTGAAAACTGCAGATTGTTTGAAAATTGTCTTTGTAGTGAGGAAATTTGAAGGCCCTCTGGATTCTCGGTTGTATATTACCAAAGAATTTCAGGAAAATGCAAATCAGAGCATGATTTTGATGGTTTTGAAGTACTTCATACTGTTATTATTCTTCCTGTAATAGTTTTAATTTTCCTTGAAAAGATTATTATGGGAATAATAATTTTGTATCTTTTGATTGAGCAAAAATGCACCTAAGAGCAATTGGACATATAGATGTCAGTTTTCTGGTTGTGATATTGTACTGCTATAGTTTTGCAAGATGTTACCACTGGGGGAAACTGGGTAAAAGGTATCTGACATCTTACTGTATCATTTCTTACAATCGCATGTGAATCTACAGTTATCTCAAATGTTTAATTTTTAAAAACGCATTTAAACACTAAGGGGCTTAGAATAATAAAGCTACTTTACTGTAGAGCAGATCCAAAATCCTGTAGTCACATATGGATAAAGAAATGGAAGGTAAAAATTAAGAGACATTCTGCTAATGTTGTGGAATATAATAATTATAGATATGAAAAGAACACTTATTGCCATTCTACCTGCTTCTCAGGAAGAGATAAGTAATAAAGTAAATTAAGCTAACATTTTAAATTACTTGCCATTAATTTTTATTTTCTTGGGCTGAAGCTGGTACTGCCCTAGTTTATAGTTATTAGACCAATATCGCAACAGAAGCTGCAAGAGCAAAGATTGTTTTATTCATCTTTACATCCCTCCAGCGTGCTTAGTACCATGCTTTTATTGCATATAGTAAGCAGGCCCTTTTCAATAGCATTTATTGTAGTAAGAATGAAGAGTAGTAAATGCTGTTTCAATTAATAAAATTATATTTTGTTTTGTAAGCTCTTCCCATTTAAGGGACACCTTTGAGAGCATAGTTTTATTATTAACCTTAGCTTAATGATTTCCGTGGTATATCTTCAGACACTATATGATTATGGAAGAAAATAGCTTATGTTAATTAATTTGTATTGTCATATATCATTGTTATTTTTAATAGCCAGTACAAATAATTACTAAGAGATATTTCCAGGTAAAGTTGTGGCATTTTTGGTGGGGATTATTCCATAAAATGAGAAAAGATTAAAAAGATGATAGTTAAAAAGATAATAGCTTGGAATGTTTTTTAAAGTGATCTTAAGCTAATTTGTACTTGATGAACAGTGAGAAATAACTGTTTTTGGTTGAGTTGATATTCTTTCATGTGATCTTTGATTTTGAACAGGTGTATTACCTGACTGCTTAACAGATGGTTCTGATGTGGTCAGTGACCTTGAACAGGAAGAGATGAAAATCCTGAGGGAAGTTCTTAGGTACCCTTCTTATTTTTTAATTGAATAATTAATAATATTATAATATCTGTACATATGTTTTTTACCCAGAAAATATTATAAATAAAATAGCTAAATTCTCTACTGAAGACCATCAAAATGATTTGTCATTTTATTTTTTAAAAGTTTTATTTTTTAAGGCTAGTGAAGTAATTTATCATTTTATAACTATGTATATATTTCTTAATGGGTAGAAAAAATTATTTTCAGATGACTCATACCAGATCATCTCAAATGAGAGGGTCTTTTCCCACCCCCATCATAGGAATAGGAAAGTAGCCACCAATGGGAAAAAGTTGCAGTAGACCCAGCCTGATCCCTGGAGAAGGATGTAGTGACTTGAGCGAAGCAGCATACTCCATGGCTTCTGGATCTCAGTATTGAAGTGGCTCATTCTAGGGGTCTCACAGTAGGAGGCTAGACATCTAGACTCCGCAGATAGAGTAGCTGACTGGGTGACAGTGACCTGCAAAGGAGGGAGGACAGCAAGAGGCATCTATCCCAGAAGGGTATCTTGCTGGTCTCTTCCTCTTCCCAGTTACGTGATTCTCAGTCAAATGCCTGGCATGGAGCTTGCAGCCCACTAATGGGGCCCACACAGAACTAGGAAAGGTTAGTGGACATTTATTTTTTCCTTGGGCCTGTTGTGCCCTGACCTCTATGGGAATTTTGGAAGGAAGGGGCAATTGCAACTCCTAATTTTTAAATCTCCAGTGAGAACGTACTAGGTTAAGGGCAAAAAGACACTTGCAGTCAGTGTGTCACCTGCAGAATAGGACCATGGCCTTTGTGCATACCTCTCCAGCTGTACCACCATAAATGACCATCTTCTAGCATCCTGTAGACCCCCTACCTATCCATCTTGCCCCACCTCCAAAGCTGAAGAGAAGCTAGGAAGGATGGTAGTTAGGAGGATGGGCCTAGTGGGAAACTATGGCAGGAGCTCCAGCACTTAGTGGGTAATTTTAGGAGAGTTGCCTGATTATGGGAGGGAGGCAGATGTGCGAGTGAACTCAGCCCTTTCCTTTGAGATCCTTCTTTGGGTGGCAGGGGCAGATTGGAGCCTGAGACAACACAGAATGCTTTGAGTTTATAGGTTTGAAAAGAAGTAAGGGTATTTGGTTCAGAGGACTGGCAAAGTTTTGACTTGGACCGGTTGCATTGGTTGATTGGTGGTCTGAAAACTGGTCAGCACTGTACATTTAGGTTTTATTTTCTAAGAGCTTTTGAGGGGGTATACTACTGTGTAAGTAGTAGAACTTAGTTATGAACGTGTACAACAGTTGACCTTGGCTATTTTCCTAAATCAGACTATCTCAGTGAGCTATTTACAAAAGTGGCTTTGGCACAGTGGCACCAGGAGTGCTTTATGATAGCTCACATGCCACTGGAAAAAACTAGAATGAGGGGAGCAGTGGTGCTTATCAGGAGGGTTATAACTGATCTCTCTAAAGAAAGATCAAAGTCTTCAATCATAGGATTTGCCACTGAAATTTGGGTTTAGAATTTCAAATATGTTGGTCTTTGATCAGCTAGGATGCATTCAAATTTCTAGAAGAAATGGGTAGACCTGTATTTGCTGTTGCTAACTATATTAGGCTGTGTATGCCTACGTATGTCCTTCCCATTTGACTGTAAGTTACTTTAGAGCAAGGCCTGATTATTTTCCATCTTGTGTCCAGAATGCCTTGCTTATATTGTAAGTTTGGGTTAGTATGTTGAATATTTGTTCTTTGAGTAAAAAGGAAAATTTACTTTTCTACCTTATTTTTGTATATTTCAGAAAATCAAAAGAGGAATATGACCAGGAAGAAGAAAGGAAGAGAAAAAAACAGGTGCTTGCAGAACATATAACAGAATTGCTGTTATTTCTTATTAAGTTTACACCTAATTTTTGCTGTTAAAGTTTAAGCTTATGTGGAAATACACCTCAGAATATTCATATTTTTCTGGCAAGTTTTAAGCATTTATATTTAACTTTGTATATTTTTAACATAGTAAGTATATAGTTTCTTATAAGAATGTATACTTTGTTTTAAAGAAAATTATTTTCTTGATAACTTTATTCACTTTATAATTCATCGAGCAACCTACCTTTTAAGTTTCATGATAGAGACCAAGATTATTAACTCAAAAACTGTAATATCGTTCTGATTTTGGGAGCTTCCTTATAAAAATTCTCCTAAATTTTATGAATAAAAGGAGATTAAGAAAAACCTTTCACTTTCCCATTCTCCTTGACTATTTACTATGTTGAAACAGCAACTACAACTACCAAAGGTACCCTGCAGGCTTTAATATTATCAGCTTAGAGCTGAATGATTCAGTAACATATTCCCTGGCATACTATTCTTCCATTAACAAACGTTTCCATAAACTGCCGAATCTTGCCTGGGGATAAATTAAACATGTATCTGGCTAAGGTGAGGGAAGTTAGTATTTATTCCTTCCTATCCCCTTTTCTAGCTGCCTCTTCATGTTTCCCCAGTCAGGGAAAGAAAAACCTAATATAAACTCTTAATCACTTGAGAGTCGTCTTCCCTTTCCCCGCCCTGCTCTGAATCACTATGATACATGCTTGTATCATTTCACTGTCTTTGAAAAACTTATTTTACTCCTGGGTACCCAAAGAAGAGCAGAAGGAGGAGAGATGTTTTAAGGTTAAGAGGTGATTTAGTATCTTTGAGTAAGTAAATTTTTAGTAAATGGAGGTGAAGTTCTTAGGTAGTAATAGGATTTTTCTTTTTTTTCTTCTTTTTTGAGACAGAGTCTCACTCTGTTTCCTGGGCTAGAGTGAGTGCCGTGGCGTCAGCCCAGCTCACAGCAACCTCAGACTCCTGGGCTCAAGCGATCCTACTGCCCCAGCCTCCCGAGTAGCTGGGACTACAGGCATGCGCCACCATGCCCGGCTAATTTTTTCTATATATTTTTAGTTGTCCAATTAATTTCTTTCTATTTTTAGTAGAGACGGGGTCTCGCTCTTGCTCAGGCTGGTTTGGAAATCCTGAGCTCAAACAATCCGCCCGCCTCGGCCTCCCAGAGTGCTAGCATTACAGGCGTGAGCCACCGCACCCGGCCTCTGTAGTAGTTTTAAATTGGTTTTTGTTCTATACCCTTATATTTAAAAATCCTATTACTAGGCCGGGCGCGGTGGC